GTCCCTTCCGACCCTAGAAACTATGAAACTATAAGTGGCTTTGATCCAGAGGATAGAAGCAAAGTGAGAGAGAAAAAAAACATTCTTTAAACCTGGACTCTAACTCAGACAACATGTGGATCTGTGAAACTTTTGTAACAAGCTGTGTGGCTCTTGAGTTGGGCTTGTCAGCTACAAAAAGATTCATTAGGCCTCTGACTGTGTACACCACGATCCAGAGGATCAACAGTTGCTTACTGATGAGGGGGCACAGCTTGCATCTGGGTCTGTTGCATGGCCTGGTGCCTCAGTGAGAATAGGAGTTAAGTAGCCTGTTGCTTGAGAGATGGTGTTTGAGTGAATTTGGGTGTCAGATTTGACACAGATTTGGGAGGTCTGATTTTTCAGATGATGGATCCTCAGTACCTATAAGGTGTCTTAGGTGCTCAGCCAAACCAGAAGTCACATAAATTAAGGTTGTCAGAAGTGACTAACCAGGATTACACAAAGTCTTGAACAGAGCTGGAAATAGAAATCTGATCTGAAATGCAGACCGGGACCTTAAGTACATTCCTCTAATTTTTTATTCTTTCCTTTTAACTCCAGGGATTGTCTGCTCTGAATACTTGAGCTGTGCTGGCTACTAGTGATTGGCTAGACTGCATGGTGTGCAGATTCACTTCAGTGATTGGTTGCATACAAGAGCAGTTTGCAAATGTGAAATTAAAATTCTGTTTCCAGCACATGCCTGCTAGTAATGAATATTTGCAGAAGCTAAACACAATGGATGCAAGAAGCTGAAGAGAATTTTCTTGATGAATATTAATGGAAGCATTTTGCAGTATACTATAAAAAATATAGCTCCAAAGGACCTAATTCCATAACTTGATGCCAGATAGCACTCAAAGAATTTTCTTTTCCTGCTAAAAAAAACATGAGAAATAAGATGATCTTAGAGCTGTTAAGTTGGTCCCCCAAAAAGTGGGGGGAGGGATTGGAAAAGATGAGCATTTTCTGATGTGGGAGAAAAAGAAAACCTGCTACATTGATGGTGAAACTGTTGATGGAGGATCAGGTGAGGGCTGATGAAAAGATGGGTGTTGGGGGAGAGAAATATTTAACCCATCTAAGGCTTGAGCAACTAATTTTTTTCTGTCCTTAACTAAAAAATAAAGACCATTTTTTTTTTCCCCCCCGTCCCCTATTAAAAACTTGTCAACTTCTCAATTTTGAGAGGTCAGTGAAGATGGTACAGCTGCAGCAGGCACTTCTATGTAACAAAGCTTTATTTGTGTCTCTTCTGGTTGGTTGGTTTTCTTTATATCTTTCTGAGGAGAGAAGGCCTTGGATATTTCATCTACAATATCTCAGTGTTGCAACCCTATTATAGGTGGAAAAAAGCAACCAACTTGCCATTTTGAAGTTTGGCAAGTGATTTATTTACTTTTCCCGTCCCCCGTCCTCCGTTCTGATGGTACACAGCACCACATCCCAAGCTTGGATTGGTACTTCCTGGGGTTGTCCTCTTAGACCATTGTAAAGACTGCCAGGTTTATATCACACTTCAGCTAGCATCTGTTACAAGAGTGTACTTCTGAGCCCAGAGAATTGGGGAATAAGAGTCTGAAAGTGTTGTCTTGTACGTGAGGGTCCTGGAAGGAAGGTGGATGGAGGAGTACTTTATAGATTCATAGATTGTCAGGTCGGAAGGGACCTCAGAAGATCATTGGGTCCAGCCCCCTGCACCAAGCAGGAAAGACAGCTTGGGGCAAGGTGACCCCAGCAAGGTGACTAGCAAGGTGACTTTAGTTAATTAGAAATGCCATGCTGGAAAGGATTTGACTCATATGCAGGGTGGAACCCACTGATTTATTGTGTTGAGAAGGGTTCACTTTTCTTTTTCTTTTCATAAAAAATAATGTAAAATCTATTTGCTAATTATTTTCCTGTTGATTGAAGACACAATTCAGCTAGCATGAATGTGGTAAAAATCAGCTCTTAAAAACTTTTTATCTTGAAACAATAAATAAATAATTACATAGGGAACTAGACAGGGATGGTTTTAGATCTGAAGTTCTTGTTGCTGTGGTGACTGCTGGAGCTGTGAGGTCATACAACCTAACATATGAATTACTTGCTATGAGCCCTCTGTGATGCAGGCAAACTGGTGGACACGGTGTAAAATTTACTGTAAGTTGCTTTTAACTCCTCTTATACCCTTTGCAATTGGGGGGATAGATTACTTCCAAATTAAATGTCATCAAAATTAACTGTTTCAAAAGTTTTTAAACCTGACTGTGACTTGAAAAAAAAATCTATATCTATATCACATATATCTATATCTATATGTATATCGATCAATGGCCCAACTGACTCTCCCCAGTACAGCAGTACTCTGTGTTGCTGAGAGGCAGGGCATCCCTCTCTACCTGTAGCCTATGTATTATGTTAGATTTATTGATTTTTTTGAGAGAGTGGTCTGAATACTGTTTTGTATAAGAAGCTCACTATATATACATTACAATATGCAGCTGTCTTAGGTCTTGATTACCCTAGGAAATGTCATCTACTTAGTATTGGAACAGGAGGCGTCCAAGGCAAGTTGAGAATGAATTAAAGAAGTCCAGAGGACAGCAAGTCTAGCCTCATGTACCAACAACAGCATCACTAGATTGGAGTTTTATATGCTACAGGCAGAAAGTAAGACTGGCTGGCACCTTAGGGCATTTGTACACATGCATGCGCCACAGCAGCAAGCACTTTGAAAAGCACCTAGCACTGCAACACATGCAGTTGTGTAAGTGGTGAAATGCGCGTCAGCCTTGGGAAAATGGCAGCAGGTTACTTTTGAACTAAAACACATTGGAGGCGCTTTAGTTCAAAAGCGCATTGATGCACATTTCACTGCTTATACAACTGCACGCAACGTAGCACAGTGTGCGTTTGCTGCGACGCACCGCATCTCTGGTGTAGACACTAGCTGGTTCAGACAGGCGTGGGCTTTTGTAAGCAGGAAACTATTTCATCAAATACCAAGTTGTTGCCTATGAAAGCTGATACCTTTTTTGAATCATTTTGTCTGTGAGGTGCCACCCTGCCCTGCCTTCTGCCTGGGTTCAGTTTAACCCAAGTAATCCTTTCCTGATGTAGTACAATAAGTCAGATACAGTCAATACTTATAAATATCAGCATGTTGGGGCCATGGTAGTATGTGGCTATGGCTCTCAGTATGTCATTTGAATGTATGCTATGGGAAAAGTTCCCAGGAGGACACTTGTTAAAGAGAGGTAGTTGTTCTTATCCCATGTTGCTACAAATGATAGACTCGTTTGCAGCAACATATGATAAGAACAACTACCTTTGTATTAATATAGGAAATCCTTTAATAGAAGGAAGTTGCCAGAGCGATTCTTCACTTACTCTTAACTTTAGAGTCTGCTCAGAGATTTCTTAGGCATTAAGACTATGTTGTTTGTGACTTTGACTCTTTTGAGTGGCCATATAGAACTGTTGTGTATGACCTGAGGACAGCTAGCAAAAGCCAGTCTAAGCAAACAAGTGAAACTTCTTAAAGAACATGCCTTCTATTTTGGCAAAGCCTTTTATTTGTGGATAATTGAGAATGTGGGTTGGTTTTTCTTTTCATTTTTCTTTTTGCAATATACTTCCCTTCTTTTTCCCTCTACTCCATTACTGAGGATTTAAGCTCTAAACTTGCTGGGGTCAAAGTCGAAGAGTGAAATTGATGTGAAAAAAGACTCTATCATGGATCACATTGTCCTGTTTGCTATAGCATAAACTTGAGTGGAAATTGCCTAGTTGTCCCAGTGAGAAAGCTTAAAAGTCTTGGTTATTAGAGCTAAAAGGCAACTTGCTAAGCTAGAAATATTAAAGTCTGTATCAGTGGGTTAATACTAACTTCTCCATTTTTAAATATACTAACAGTGAGACTCATTTTAACCTTTTTTTTTTTTTTAAGGTACCGTATGAAACACTGAATAAACGATTTCGAGCTGCACAGAAAAACATTGATCGAGAGACTAGCCACGTTACTATGGTTGTTGCAGAGCTGGAGAAGACATTGAGCAGTTGTCCTGCTGTGGATTCAGTTGTTAGTCTCCTTGATGGAGTAGTTGAAAAGCTCAGTGTTCTGAAAAGAAAGGTAACTGTTATTTCTACTCTTATCTATCACATAATGATTTCTCATTTTAGAAGATTACCTCTGTCGCTGTGCTGCATTGCCTGCCTTTGTATTTTTGTGTTTTGAGGTATAAGCACTAATGATGCTAGAGAGCCTTTAAGGCTATATTGCAAAGCAAATATGAAAAAGCAACATGTCTTGCTTTTTTCAGTGTTGTCTTAAAATGTCCCACGATTTAGTATTGCAGATAAATGACTCTGTGAAGTAGAATGAATATATACATACCGGAGCCCAAAGACTTGTAGCTAGGAAAACTGTTTCATCACTTCCTTGTCTCGTGAAGAGGTACCTGCATCAGGTTACCAATTACATTGTATTAACTGACCCTCTTGGGAGGAAGATGCCAAGTTGAAATTTGAGCATAGAATCTGAACTGCCATCTAAGTGAACATGGTGGGACAATATGAGAGATTAACAAGATGTCACATCTTTCTTTTGCAAATAGATCCATTAACTTTCCAAAATTCACTGTTGGATATATAACATGCGATAGCCCAATCCTCAGGGCAAGTGTGGTGGGTTTGGGTAAGACTCTTAAGCATTCTACACTTCTCTGGGAAAGCTGCTTCCTAGTGTGAAAGCACTATGGCTGCATCTGCATAGTATTTTTACTAGCTAATGAGCACTTCTTAGCAAGTGCCACTTACTCAATCCTATGCTAATTATTCCACCTGCCGCACTGTGCAGCTATAACTATACTGCTTTCAGTTTATGAAGAAGTCTACCTAGAACAGTGCAGTGTAATTAAGGGGCAATTCTTGGAGTAGATGTGGCGTGTTTGATGGTTAGATGCTATCTTTGGCTTTATCCATGGAATAAAAAATATTTCTTTTAATTCTAGGTCACATTACTAAGGTTCCTGTAAGGCATTGAAGAGTCATTATAATGGTTGCAAAAAGACAGCACTATCCTTGCCTAAAATATTAGAAAAAGGGATTTAGTACTATTTCTGCTTCAATATACATGTTTTATTTTGATTACAATTTTACTAGGAACTCTGATTTCAAGAGAAATTTTACGCAGGAATCTGCAATGTCTTCAAAAAGATTTAGGCTGCTTGTACACATCACAGGGGCTTAGTCCCCTAAATTGAAATAGTGTGTTTTTAATTTCTATGATTAAATACCAACCGTTTCAATGTTAGGGGCTTCCGTCACTGTAACAGTGAGGGGCCCAATCCTTTTTTTTTCTTTTTGTGGAGCCTACCCGCATCTCCTGCTGCCAGGGGGCAAGCTGCCAGTAGGCCAAGTGATCCCTGAGCTGTGGGGGGCCCTGATCCTTCCCTCTGTGATGAGAGCAACCCCAGGGCCGCCTTGGGCTGCTAGCAGGCAGGTGCTGCCCAGGGGTTTCTGCCACCATAGAGGAAAGGCCCAGGGCCCCCAGCAGCTTGCCCCCGTCCACAGCGGAGGTGGCCAGGCTCCATGGAAAACAAAACAAACACACACAAAAATCAGGCCCCTCGCTGCTGTTTTGTGCCTCTCAGCAGAGCCTGCTCTGCGAGCTGCTGCCAGGCCATGTAGCCCCTGAGCTGCAAGGGGGGGTGGGGGGAGGGGTGAGCCTTCCTTCCATGGGGGCGGCATCCCCTGGGGCTGCCCAGGCAGGGTGCTAGCTGCACAGGTGTTTCCCCAGCTCACAGGCAGCACCTGCGAGATCCATCTCTTCCCCAGACCTGTGCAGGAAGCTGTACCTGGCAGGCTTCCAGTGCATAGGCTTGGGGAAAGAGTTGAATCCAGTGGGTGTTGCCTGTGATCTGGGGCAGCACCTGTACAGCTAGCACCCTGCCTAGGCTGCCCTAGGCAGCACCACCATCATGGAGGAAAGGACCACCCCCTTCCCCCCTCTTGCAGCTCAGGGGCTGCATGGCCTGGCAGCAGCTCGTACAAGCAGGCTTCTCTGAGAGAGAGGAGGAAAAAAAATGGCAAGAGGCCTGGTCTTTCTTTTTTCCCCCATGGAGCCTGCCCACATCTCCTGCAGTCAGGACAAGCTGCCAGCAGGGGGCCCCAGGCCTTCCCTCCATGGCGGTGGCACCCTCCAGGGCCACCTAGGTGGGCAGCAAGCAAGTGGATGCTGCCCCAGCTCACAGGCGGCACCCAATCCAATTGTTCCCTGAGTCCAAGTTGGGGCAGCACCCGCCTGCTATCCATCCTCCCAGGCAGCCCCAGGGGGTGCTGCTGACATGAAAGGAAGGAAGGAGCTCAGGGGCTGCTCAGCCCACTGGCAGCTCTCCCCCTTACCACAGGAGACGTGGGCAGGCTCTGCGGGGGGAGGATTGGGCCCCTTGCCACTTGTGCCTTCAGCCCGCCTCTCCTGCGGCAGGGGGGCAAGCTGTCAAAGGCTGCAATGTTACAAACAGCTATGTTACAAACTAAACTACATGCAGATGTGGTTTAGTTTGCAACATAGCAAAATCATTTAAATCGTAAAAACTCCTGCACGTGTACAGCGTGATGCAATGAAACTGCAAAAACAGCCAATTTTCGTCATGTGTACAAGCACCTATAAAGGCCAGATAAGTCTAGTATCTCATGTTGCAGAGCCTCATCATGATCACCAAACCCATCTATATATGTGGGGCAGTAAGTGGGCTAGAGTATCAGTCTGAGAAATAGCAAAGGCTATAGTTGAGCCCCGTCATTCTGCCAGAGCTTCTATCATCAGAGGTACTGGAGCTCTTCCATTTAAAAACAGTAGAGGCTGCTGGTAGGGCTTCATTCACAATCTCACCTTCACTATAAACTTGTAGGAAATAGCTCACAACTTACTTTGAAGACCTTTTTCGCCGCCGAGCCCTTTTCTTCCTTCCTTTTTTGGGAAGGGGACTCTAGTGATGGTCATGAAGTGGATGGTTAAATTTGTTTTGTTGTTGTTTTTTCTGCCTCAAATATTGCTAAGTACAGTGATGATTAATGCAGTTGCAAAGCCTGTCTGTAAGAGCTTCAAGAGTATGTGTTCCCATCTCTTTTTAATTTTTTGCATAAAATCATAACAAAAATGCATTTAAATAAGTAAGTATTGGAACATTATTATTGTGGAGGGGATACAATTCAAATCAATTTTAAAACACACGTGAATTTGGGACTAAAAGATATATCCTAAGAGTAATCCTGGACTTAGAGCAACTCTCTTTGTTATATTCAATCTGTCATGATTGCAAGGTACCTCAAAGACTTTCAGTTCTTTGTACAGGTAATTAATATGAAGTAAATACTTAGAATGCCATGCTGGCCAGATCATGGACAGACTGTTAAGAGATACCACCTCATCAATAACGCTTTTCCCCGGGAAGCTTATGAGAGTCATATTTCAGCTTTCAGGGCATCAATTCATGATCCCTTTCTAGACAAATATCTCCCAGGAGCTATCTGGCCTTGGAATATAAATCAAGTAGCGTAGATCATTCTTCTAAAGAAGAGGGAGAAAACATGGTAGTAAGGTTTGTTGCTTTCCTTACATGGGGAGGGAGGGGTATTTCCAGCACCATGATGATAATAGTATAAAAGTGTAGGCAGAATAGAATTTGTATAATTTAAATCACAGTCTGAGGCTTAATAGTTTTACTGGCTTCGAATAGAGTATTTCCGTGTTAGAACTTCAATTGCTTTACATGCTGTAAAATTGGTACTTGATGCTGAAGCCTTTCTTCCCTGGCCTAGCTCATTTTGGTAGCCAGAAATGTGAGCTCAGGGAGGGTGTCACTATATGCAGCTGGTCAAATGAGACTACTTCAAACTTCAGATGTCAGTTAAGGGCTGCAGAATGTATTGTAGCATCTTATCTTGAACCAAGATTCCTCACAAACTGTCACAATTTGAACACGTTCTTAGTGCACCGATTCTGACAGAGCTATGCCAATTTACAGTATCTGAGAATCTGACCCAGAACCTATAAACATTGAAAATGTTTAAACAAATGTCTTCAGTAATGATATTGGTTCTGACTTTTTTATTCTTATACCTAGGTCTGAAATGGTTTAAGATAAGATGCGATTGATGAAGCAGCGGGCAGGCTCATTAACCAGGGAGGCCTGAATAATGCCAAAGAATTCTCATTGCATTTTGCAAGCTTGTGACACATTCTGTAATCCAGAGTATACAAAATGCTCAAAATGCTACAAGCATGCAAGAACAGGGCCTCTTGCATTTGGGAAGCAGGGCAGGATGGCGCATTCTTCTTCTTCAGTAGCATGTTGGAGCTACTGTGAATAAATTTCCTGCTCTATTCTTTGAGGTTTGGTATAGATCATGCAGCAAAAGCTTCCAGTGTTATAGCAAGTGTTCTTTACAGCCTCCAGCCATGCAATCATTATCACAAGCCACCCCCTGCCTGAGCTTTGGAAAAAGGAGCAGGGCTGCAACAGTTTAACTCTTCCCTGCTTCAGTGAAGCAGTGTTCTCGGATGTTACAGTGAATCTTCACCTTGCTTCCAGCTTTTGTTTAACTTTGTGCCTCTGTTTTCCCCATCTGGAAAATGGGAATAATCCTTTATGAAGATATTAAGAACTTAGTCTGTGGGGTGAGATCTGTGCTACCTACTTTTAGGCTTTTTTGTTCACTTTACTTGCTTGCAGAACTAGCACAAGGCAGTCACTAGCATAGCGATGCATCCCACTTACTTGTCAGTGTTGTTCTGCCTCTTCAGTTATGCCTAAGACAAAGGGACCTTCCCTATCTAGGTGAGTAAACTGTGAAAGTTGAACACACAGCAACACATTTTCAGACCTTATTTACAGGGGGTTTAGCCAGCTGCTTCTCTCTAAATAGACTTTCCAGCAAGGTAATTCAATACAGCAGGTTTCTGGTGTTGGCTAAGCTCAACACCTTACATTTCTTTCCTGCATAGCCCTCAAACAAGCTGAGCACCCTTCTTGTCATTGGCTTTTCTGAACTTGCCTCTCTGAACAAAGTTGCTGCAGAGGTGCTAGGAAAGGATCTATACTTCCTCCTAAATAGGTTGACAAAGGGATCAAAGTGGCAGCAGCCCTAGGTGCGAACCAGAGGTTAACTCGGCTAAGATGCCAAGGATCGCTCTCCAAGGTAAGTTGGAAAGGGTTCTGTCTTCATGATTTTTTGCCTTGAAATCTCCTCTGCAAATTCATCTTAGTTCTTGGGGGCTTTTTCCCCACGTCCTGTTCTTTACCAGCCTCATGCAATGAAAATTAATGTTGCCTTGGCTTAAGAACTGTATTGCTAAATACAAGCAAATTGTTGTTGGACAAATTGCAAGTGCTTCCTAATTTGTCTTGGACCCTACACTCCAAAAATAAATTAAATTCCATAGTAAAATTAAAACACCCTAATGAGCTACCTTTATTTTAATTGCAGGAAATCATTCTGTCAGGCAGTAATGAGGGGTTTTAGTTCAGGCTCTCCTATAAATCCACACTTTAGAATTGGGCTTAGTGGGGGAAGATACTCACTTCCTTGATAGGTTTGGACTGAATTACATTTGCAATCTCAAGACTTCTGCTTTTCCAGTACTGATCCTTCCAAGAATAATCTATCAGTTTGAGTGGATGTCTGTTAAATACTAGTAACTAGATTCCATTTAAAGTGAGACCACAATATGTCTACACTACAATCCAAAGGTGTGAATGCAGCTTGTGTATTTTAAACTATGTAGCATTGGTACAGATAGCTGCAGCAGCACAGAGTGACTGGTAAAACCTATCTAGGATCCCACAAAAAGGCTCAGGAGGCAGACTTTTATAAACACCATTTTGCCACTGGCCCCAACCAGCCAGTTTAAAGCTAGTTTAGATATGTCTAGGCAAGCAGAACGTGCTCCTTTTGGATTACAATGTAGGTGTCTTTCATAGACGGACTCTGGGGGATTACCCAGTATATGTCTAGCCTGCTACTTTTCTACTCTGTTACAAAACAATTATCTGTCTTGTAACTAGTAAATAAAACGGCTGTTGGCTGCTTTCAGCAAGTTGTGCACATCTAACTTGCTTTGTAAAATCTGAACTGACCCACTAGTGTCATGTGCTGTAGTCATAAGTACCTAGCCTCAAGCTGCAAATGTGGCTGTAATTAATTGCTAAGTGAAATGTGCAGCATGATTAATCAGCCATCTAATTGCGATAGGATTCAGGGACAGGAAAAAGTGTGATTATGCGATAAAAATAGTGTTATTGAAATATGCATTTTATGTTACCTCTGAGCTGGCCATGCAGTGAGATTTGGCTGAAAAATTGTCATCCTGGTTTGCCTTAAGGTAAATGTGCTGCAGTTATCAGTGAGGGCTCTAATACATCTGCATAGCTAGGGATAATAGGGGTAGGGCAGTATCTGTAGAAATGCTAAAGTAAAATGAGGACAATGCCCACCAGCTTGGCAAGGGTGCTTGCACTTGTTTGTAAATGACTTTAATTCAAAGATTGCAGAGGTCTGGGAGCCATGTGTCTCAACCCTTCCATTCCAACAAATTCTGATAATATAGCTCTCCTGCAATAAGAGGATGGAAGGAAACTAAATGTAGAGGCCATACCAGGCTCAATTTTTAGACTCAAGGCACTCCTCCATGGACTCCAGACACCCCTCAGAAAATGCCAGCTCTTAATTCTTGCTCTTTTCTTCTTTTTGACTGTGGAAAAATAAGACAAACTTTTTTCTGTTGCAAAGAACTCAGACCACAGTAGGTCAGAATGGGTCAACTGTACGGATTCTTTTTTGAAAACATTTGTTTATCTTGTGAATTGTGTTTGCATACCCAATTGCTAACATTGTGCAGCATCCTGTGGCACCCTGGTTGAGAACCACTGTACTATGGTGCCCACGTGCAGCGCACAACTGTACAGGTAGGATGGAAGGAGGGTAGTGTATAGGTACAAGCCCAGTTAGTCTCAGCTGTTCCAATCTGAATGCAAAACCGGAATGCTCATGTAGTGCATGTGTAGTGAGATGGTGTTAGGACAGTGGTCACAATGAGGTTTTTCTGTTTAAAAACTACTGCAGCATATGTTTTTCAAAGGGCTCAGCAGGATTGGGCCAAGTTTTGAGAGAGTCCTGTTTGAAGAGAAATACAAGACAACAGATGAAGCTATCTCTTCTGTAGTATTAAACATTGGTTGGAAACAGACGGTCATACAGACATCTGTGGCTGTCCTGAGATGAAGCCTAAAGTCTCCCAAGTAAGAGGTAGTAATAGATTTATCCTGGGATGTTGCAAAATGTCTCTGTACAGTTAGCTTGGGTTGCATCACTGAATCAGTGGCAGAAAAGGGGCACTTGATTCAGCTGCTCACTAAACCCTAATGCAGGAGCCAGCAGTTATTTCAGGCCAAAGGCCACTTACTGAGTTTTGGCAAGCCATCAAGGGCCACATGACAAGCAGCCAGGGGCAGATAAATATTAATTTTCTAAAATTTTTAGGGGCCCCGTGGGCTGGATAGAATTGCCTGGCAGGCTGCATACGGCCCGTGGGCCACATTTTGCCCACCCCTGCCCTAATGCGTACGCACCAATCCCAGGGTATTGTTGGTCTGGGACAAACACAGGCACAACTTTATGCATGGATAAATGCAACATCTGTCCCTAGCTGTTGTGTAGCCAGTGGGTTTGGATACCTCTACTATTCTGGTTAGCATGCAGTTCAGTGTCTTGTTGTTTTTACTCGTCATACTTGTTCTGCAAGCTCTGAGAACTGTTGGTGTTTTAGTAATGCTTATGCTTTACTTCAGAAGGAACTGTTCTCTTGTAACAATAATTCTTTCTTAAAATTTTAGGCTGTTGAATCAATCCAGGCTGAAGATGAGAGTGCAAAGCTTTGTAAACGCAGGATTGAGCACCTTAAAGAACATAGCAGTGACCAACCAGCCGCTGCAAACATGTGGAAGAAAAAACGTATGGATCGCATGATGGTGGAACATCTCTTGCGCTGTGGCTACTATAATACAGCTGTAAAACTAGCCAGGCAGAGTGGCATTGAGGTTGGTAACAGTTTGTATTAAGGAAATTGGTGATGACAAACCAATCGATTAGTGATGTGGCAGCTGTTTTTTATGCACTGAAGGATGTCAGTATTCTTACTCTTCTTTTTTTTTTTTAGTTAAGGTAGTCCTTTTAAAACAATCCTTTTGGAGCCTGTTCTCCCCACTTGCTATAGTTTTGCATTTACCATACTTACTCTCATACCGCATACACCTTTTCCCAAAAAATATGCCTCTCTAAAATTGGGGTTCATGTGAACTATTCCTCCCTCCCCCCTTCACTGGAGTACAAACAGAGAAGAGTAGAAGCTTTAGCCACTGCTCTGATGCTGTTAAGATGGCTGTCACTTCTATAGCCCCTGCAAGTAAAGGGAGCAAAGTCTTGTTTTAACCTTCTGGAGCCTAACCTTGTTGCTGGCCTGCCACACCAGGAAGTTCCTGCTGCCTCACCTGGACTGTCTCCTGGGATGCCATGTTTCCAGAAGGCCTTACACTGTTGTACAGTTGGCCCTAACTGGAAGGTTTTTTTCTCCCAACACTGTGTATTCAAAAAACAAGGTGTGCATTTTATTTGGGGACATGTCGTTTGCAAGAGAATACAATGTGTATGTTTAATGAGAAGTCAAAATTGGAAGTCATGGCGTGAAAGCAAATTTCTAAACCCCAAGAACACCCACTTCACTTCAGAAACTTTAAAATGGTCCTCAAATGTACCATTGCATTTTTATTAGCAAATTACAGGCTGCTGATTTAAGCAGTTAATGGAGCTTCCCATCTGTCCAGCCATACTTTCACTGTATATGTGGTGATCAGGCTGATCACAGTAACATATGCTATCTAGAGTTCTATTGTATTATGCAACCACTGAATATATTTAAGGGAATCTTTTAATTCATTTTGAGTATATGTGTAGCAGAATTTCTTCCAAACTCTTCCTCCATCTGACTTTGCTTCTAAAGTAGCAGTTGTGGGTGTATATATTGTTGTGTATTTTGTTTAGAACAGGGATCGGTCAACAACATTTTGCTGACATGGGCTGGATCTTATGACCTGGCTTTCTGCTGAAGGCCATAAATCTGAGCCCTGAATTGGATCCTTTTTCCTCTGTGAAGATAGCTAGCCCCTTTTTAGTGTGGACAGTGTAGGCTGAAGAGAGTAGCAGGGAGGGTGCTGCAGAGACGATCAGCATAGCACTCTGCCACATAATCTTCTATGCCAGTGTTTCCTAACCCGTGGGTTGCGACCCAAAAGTGGGTCACAAGAACATATGAAAGGAGCGTGAACAAACCTTAAAAATGGATCAACAAAATGGATTCTCCTTAAAGGAAAAAATGTGGGAAACCTGACTTTTTCCCTTGCAGGCTGGCAGAGTTCCAGCCTGCAGGCAGCTGCTTCGGGGACCCCCCCCTGCATCACCCTCCACCCCCCATGCCCCACGCACTGGGGGAGGCTGGGGGCAACATGTTGGGAGTGAGGGACACTGGGTTGGGACTGGCTATCAATGTTTACAAATGGGTCGTGGTGCAAAAATATTGAGAACCACTGCTCTGTGCCACCCTGGGCTGGGCCATACCTTATTAGGCAGGATCTAACCTCTCTGTGGGTTGGATCTGGCACAGTGGTGGGGGGGAGGGGGTGTATATTGTTGACCTCTGGTTTAGACCTCCATACAAAATACTTTTGTCTTCTATTCCATATCTTAGTATTGCCTTCCTTTTACTCACAAGTTTGTGGAGTTGCTGAACCATACTACCCAATAATGTTTGGGACTTGCACAGTTCCTATACATATGCAAAGCCGTGTTATGGATCCTGGAAGGCTTATATGCTTCAACTGCTATGGAAAATCTCAGCAAAATAAAGTTGATGTTTTGGGAAAGACCTAGTTTCTTCTGAGAATTATTTTCTTAAATTGGCTTATTCTGTTTTGCTGAGCTGTAGTGGCACTTGCCAATTGGTCTTGGAGGTACTTCTGGATCAGTACTGTAAATTGTATTGGCATGTTTGTCACCTTCCTTCCAGTGACTGCTAAGGTTGGTTGTAAGTGTCTTTGGGTGCAGATGAGAGGTAGTGGGACTTTAGTGAAATGCAGTGCTTTCAGTTTAGATTGGTTTGTGGCTTTTTTGAACAGTAGCGCATTTTTAAACTGACCAGTTCAGTGAGGTAAAAGTTTGAAGTGTTGTGAGACCTGGTGTTATATCCAGAACTACAGCATAAATGTAACTCTGCTGACTGCAGTCTGTTTCTTAGTTTAGTAGTTGTCTTGGCTAAGAGATTTTTGTGTGGCTAACAGTATCTTCAATAAATATTGAAATGGGAGAGGGAGGGAGGAAAAAAAACAGAACTTAGAAACCAGTAAGAGCATGTTGCGTAGTAAGACAATATCCCATTGTTTGTGCCCTTCTCCCAAGAGTTCACTGTCATTGGCTAAGGAGGACTCTGAGAGAACTACCAAAATACAGGACGACGATCAAGTTTTTTGATCCTGTAGCTACAGATGCATGATCTTCCATCTCATTGATCCGCTGAGAGAGAGGAAGTTTTCCTCTGTTTGAGCCAAAGCTTTCAGTTGCCTATTGGATTATCATGTCTCTGCACGTAGCAGGTGCATCTAAAGAGCAATAAAGGTTACTGTAGTATTTTTCCCTTCTCTAGCAGCTCCTGTATAGCATTAATTCCGAGTAGAAGGCATAACACTGATTTTAAAGTGCGGAGGGTTACAGTGAGACTATTTCATAATCCGTTTACAAGACAGAACAGTATGAAGTATCACACCTTTTTGAAGCCTCGTGACTTCATAGTTTCATAGATTCAGGGTCGGAAGGGACCTAGTAGATCTTCTAGCCCGACCCCCCGCCAGGGCGGGAGAACAACAAAACCCCAAAACAAAAACGGGACTCAAATGAGTCCAGCCAGGTAGGCATCCAGCCTCTTCTTAAAGACCCCCAGGGTAGGGGCCAGCACCACTTCCCTTGGAAGTTGGTTCCAGCTCCTAGCCGCCCTAACTGTGAAGTAGTTTTTGCGGATGTCCAATCTATACCTCCTCTCCATCA